CCAACTTCCCTCCCTTGCTGAACTGATCGCCCACAACTGCCCTCCCCTGCTGGCCATCTTTGACCAATGGGGACAGCCATCTTGTGTGTTGGAGTGATGGTCAATTTGCATATTACCTCTTTATTAGATAGGATTTGCCAACACAGTTTAGAAGACATCTTCCTTCACTGCATTGTTAGACAACTTCTCCAAATATAGAGCTCAATATAAAGCAGTATGTATTTGGAACAAAAATACTGTGAGGATGCCCTAACCGGTTTGGCTCAGTGGATAGAGCGTCAGTCTGCGGACTGAAAGGTCCCAGGTTCGATTCCAGTCAAGGGCATGTACCTTGGTTGCGGGCACATCCCCAGTAGGGGGTGTGCAGGAGGCAGCTGGTCGATGTTTCTCTCTCATCGATGTTTCTAACTCTCTGTCCCTCTCCCTTCCTCTCTATAAGAAATCAATAAAATATATTAAAAACAAAAAATACTGTAAGGAGATCCTGTAAGAAATTTAAGAAAGGCATCAAAAACCGTTTTCTGCCCTGACTGGTTTGGCTCAGTGGATAGAGCATCGGCCTGCTGACTGAAGGATACGGGGTTCGATTCCGGTCAAGGGCATGTACCTTGGTTGCGAGCACAGCCCCTGTAGGGGGTGTGCAGGAGGCAGCTGATCGATGTTTCTCTCTCATCGATGTTTCTAACTATCCCTCTCCCTTCCTCTCTGTAAGAAATCAATAAAATATATTTAAAAAACAAAACCAAAAAAACCATGTTTTCCTTTGAGAGTTTTTTCCTGCTCAAACTTTAAAAGGTTCTGTACTTTATTTTAATGAGCTATGGCTCCCAAACAATTTTATTTTGCACTTTGAGAAATCAAGAGATGCAAACATCTTCCTCCTATCAGAGGTAGTTATTTCTTCTCAGGGGCTAAATTTAGGCAAGAGATAAATAAATTCTGGACCTAAGAAAGATAATAAGAGTAATGTCCCTATCCAGAAAAAGCTTCACTCATTTAAGGTATTTCAAATGAATACCTGATGTATACAATTAATAAACAGTGGAGTTAGAAAACACACAAAGATAAAATAAGAAAAGATGAAAGCAGGAGGCAACAACAAATGAAGTTTACACAACCCCAAAAGTACAAATATAAAAGCAGTTTCTTCATACCTTAAACCACTTAAAGCCCAAATGACTGGTCTCATGCAATATTTCACTCAACAGCTTCAGATAGGCAGTGAGAAGCAGAATGGTGCAAAAAGATAAACAGAAGAGAAAAAAAGCATGCAATTAAAAGCAAATTATATACAGCCACTTTGGGAGATAGTGTCACAGTTTCTTGCAAAGTTAAGTGTAGTCTTCCCATACAATCCAGCAACCAGACTCCCAGGTATTTACCTAAATGACTTGAAAATTTATACTCATACATAAATGACATAAGTATTTATAAAAGCTTTATTCATAATTGCCCAAAATTGGAAGCAATCAAGACATTCTTCAATAGGTAAAGGAACAAGCAAATTGTGGCACATCCATATAATAAAAAATGTAATTCAGAGATAAGCCTAAGTGAGTTTTCAGGCCACAAAAAGACATGGAAGAACCTTAAATGCAGAGGGTAAATGAAAAATCTAGTCTGAAAAATCTACATACTGTATGATTCCAACTATATGACACTGTGGAAAAGGCAAAGCTATAGAGAAGGAAAAAGATCAGAGACTGGGAAAATGGGGGAGGAGTGATTAGGTGGAGCACAGGTGACTTTTAGGCCAGTGAAACTATTCTGTATGACACTGTAATTATGGATACATGACATTATACATTTGATAGAACCCACAGAACTGTACAAAGAGTGAACCAAAATGTAAACTATGGACTAGTTAATAATGTATCAATACTGGCTCATCAATTTAGCAAATTTACCACACCAATGTAAGATGTTAATGATAGAGAAACCTTAGGTAAAGAAAGGAGTATCTAGCAATACTCTGTACTTTCTGCTCAAGTTTTATGTAAATTTAAAAAATTGATCTAAATAATTATAACCAGTTTACACAACAATAGCTTTAAAAAGAACACATAACAGTCTATAGCCCATAATGACATGATCTATTATTAATGGCCAAAACCTCTACATGATCTCTGATATATAAGGTTTTTAACTAATTAATGATTTCCAAAGGATGAAGAACTCTTTACAGGAGAAAAAAAAGGGTGACATTTTGAAAATAAAGGAAAGTGTGTAAAAAAGGTAAGATCAAGCTGAAAGAATATCCATTATCATTCTGAAACAATGGCTATCACCACCCCATCTCTGAAACACTCCACTACCCAAACTCTATTCAACTGTACATCAGGAAATAATTCAAATGGAAAGTGGACTAAGGCACTACAGGACATACTGTGAAAAGATCAATTTTCCCTCAGCTTTGCTAATTTCAGTCTGTCTTTATTTCTATACTTGACACTAAAGAAACTATATCCTTGTATCTAACACAGTTATGAAGGGTTCCCTTGTGGTACATACTACAATAAGTCTGCTTTGAATTGTACTCTTCTTCCTTGTTATACAACTACTTAACTCACAAGAGCATTGGTAGTCTGATCTGAGAGGATCCCCCGACAATTCATGTTACCCTCTCACTTGAACTTTTTATGTTTAATATTTATATTTCTCCAAAAAAGAAATGGAAAAGAAATAATCACTGAAAAATAAAATGTCATGAGTCTCTGTGTGAGGCAGGTTCAAAACCTCCAATCACACTCTCATAATGGGACTTGAGATTAGAGTCTTCACTGGTTAAAACTATTTCTTCCATTCACATCTCCCTCTTTACTTATTCTTCCCAATAAAAAGTTAAAAGCAAGGGTGAGGATCTAAAAAGGATCTAGAAAATTATATATATAAACCAGCAACAGAACGTTTAACAAGTCACCTCAATAGAACACTGATATGGGACTCGTTAAGTGTCACAATAACTCTATCTTTCATACTTGTTATTAATCTTAACTTGTTATAGCTTTAACTGCCCTTTTTAACAAGCCAAGGTATAAAATAAATGAACTATTTGCTATTTAAAATTAACATCTTTAACTCAGAAATGCTTGTGTTTTTCCATTCAATTTAAAAGCAGGATTGTGACGGTCTTGTAACAAACAGACATGTTCCATTTCATCTTTTCAGATATATGAGCATATACTACATAACTGTATCTGAAATCAGTCCCTAATTATTAATGCAGAGACTTCTGCATTAAAACGAGTCAATTCTTATATAGCTATATTTCAATTCTTATTTAAGACTAAGTACTTACACTTGAGGAGTGTTTTTGAAACCATATAAACATACATTATGTGTAGTGTCCCTACACTACACTGTTTGGGTTTTACCTTTTGTTTAACCAGCTGCATTGCCAGTAACTGTATAAAATCGCAGACCTGTTTTTCAGCATTGGTCCTGGCTGATTCCTCTTGTGCTAGCACCATTTCTCGCTCTGCAGTTATCTGTACACTCTCTCTTAGTGCTTCTTCCAGCTCTTCAATTCTGTCATCCTTCTTACGGAGATTGTCCTGGAAAACGATGGAAGACTCGGTGAAGTAGACTAATTAGTTAACACAAGGGGAGCCTAGGTATCAACAAGGGCTATTTGTTTATTAAATGTTCTTCCCTTCAGAAGTAAATCCAGGTAAAAACGATATCATCAGAGAGGAAAAAATAAAACAAGAGAAGAAAGAAGTAAAGGAGGTGGAATAAGTATATTAAGAGCAAAGGGTCTAGTTATTAAGCAAGAGAAACATGTGATGGACTTGACCTCCATAACAGAGTGAATAAAATTGTTGCGCTAGGCAGCATGGGTAGCAAAAGCTTACTTATGTAGAAGCACAAAGCTATTTTTGAACTACTCTCTAAACTGACCTAATGTCAGCTCTGATGAAGTGAAGTAATAAGACTCAATGTCAAACGT